AGAGTTTGAATATTTCCTAATTATATAATACAAAATTTTAGATTTTATTATTAAATATATTTTAATGTGTATTTCAAATTGAGAAAGTGTTTTGTTTCAACAATTAAGTAATGTTAATATATTAGTATTTGTTTTTAATGCAAGTATATTCAGAACAGTTATATGAATATATTAATTATTTTTTCTTATAGGCTTATTCAGATTATCAAATAATAAATTTATTTGTTGTTCAAATCAACATTACTCTTTTAATTTAGACTGTGATTACATATGTGGCCTTCTACTTCACAAGTTAACAGTTCATTGGAAATTCCCAATTCTATCAGAGGTATACGTATATAATAAAATAGTCCGCGTAAATTTTAATTATTAAATTTTTAAAATATGTTAAAGTTAGGAGATAAGTAATAATTCTTTATCCGGTTTGAATAAATATTATTCTTGTAAAAGTATACACGCACACACACACAAACACTCACAAAATGTCCAGTAATAACTGTACATGTGTGTAAGTAGATGGGATTAACCGTATAGTCCTTTAATGTTTTGCTATCTTCGTGAGAATTATTGAAAAATTTACTTAAAAATAGAATGATAATCAGTACTGCATTAAAAGACATTTCACTCTTACGCGATTACTACCTTGTATATAGATATATATAGTTTCTTCTTCTTTATAAAATTGCTTTGTTTACAAGTAACCATTATAATAAATATGTATTTATAATATAATATAACTAATTTATCATTTTGATATAAATCGTAGCACCTTTTTAATCCGCATGATGGAACACGCCTTCACCAAAGAAATATTTTGGAAAAGCATTCGCTTATATATAAATAACACGTAAGTAATTCAATATAAGATATAATTTGGCAAAATGATTTCGACGTAACTAGCAATTTTATTCAATACTTTCACGACGTTTCGACTATATGGTGTGGTCCTTATCAAGGAAACTTCTATATAACACAATATTACACAATAGTTTTAACAATGTTGAAACATACCAGAACATATTTAAATGTTGAGTTATGACCACAAACAGAAACCTACCCATCATTAAAATGAGATTAACGCAAACATAAAACCGATCTTATTTAAAATTATAGTTAAAAGAGAAACACGTCCATCGCTATGATGTTTCGTCAACGACTAAATTTGAAATTGTTCGTTTGAAAGTAAAATTGCATGGTCTACTAAATTATAAATCGTATTAATTTTATACTTATACGGTCATCCTATTAAGTATAAAATTAATACGATTTATAATTTAGTAGACTATGCAATTTACTTTCAAACGAACAATTTCATAATACAAATTTGAGATTGTAAAGAACATTTTAATTAATAATTGATTTCGGATCGTATTATTAATAAATATGTAAATAAAAAAATTAACGTACCAAATAATATAGGAATGTAACCGTCACAATGCGGATAATAACGATAATTTGAATAATGATTTGGATATAACGACAATGCAAAATTCGACTCGAGTAAGAATTATGTGATTTCACTTCCATAGTTAAAGACGTTAGCGACAGTATTAAAGGTCACTTAAAAATGCTAACTTAAATGTCGTTTATAGTTTGCCAAAAAATATAGATAGGCTGATAAAACGAGGTAAAGATTTAATAACTAATGATATAAAAACGAATGTAGTATACAAGATTAATTGAAAATTGTAATGCCTCATTACATTGGACAAACAAAAAGGACATTATGCACTAAAGTGAAGGAACATGCGAGCAATATTAAATTACATGAGTCTAATCATTCGGTTTTGAGTAAACACAGATGTGATTTTGGACATGACTTTAATTGGAAATCACCGCTCATTTTACATTAATGAGAACCATGTAAGAAAGAGAGAGATTGTTGAAATGTTTTTCATAAAGAAGCATGATAATACTGTTACAGAAAGACACTGAGACTTTGACAAATATTTACGACAAAATAATAAAGATTGTTTAGTAGTGCGTTTCAAATTTAGTTGTTGACGAAACATTATAGCGATGGGACGTGTTCCTTTTTTAACTATTAATTTTAAATAAGATCGGTTTTATGTTGCGTTAATCTCATTTTAATTGATGGGTATGTTTGTATTTGTGGTCATAACTTAACATTTAAATATGTTCTTGTATGTTTCAACATTGTTAAAAACTATTGTGTAATATTGTGTTATAGAATTTTCACTTCATAAGGACTACAACCAAATGGTCGAAACGTCGTGAAAGTATTGAATAAAATTGCTAGTTACGTCGAAATCAATTTTGCCAAGTTTATTTTTGCAACTAGCGTCCAATATTAATTTTGATTGATAAAATATAATATCAAAGAAATAAAATTGTGTAACTTAAATAATGTTTAATAATAGAAGTAGCGCGATTTTATAAAATGTCCGTTATTTTTTGGCTTCTACTGACATTATTTCTTAATGTTTTTTTAGTGTAACAATTCTGCTATTTTTCTAGATCTTCTACTAGATATATTTTTAATTTCACTCTTTTTTATTACTACTTTTATATATTTATTTTACTTCTCTCATAGATCTATCTCCTTTATATTAATTTTCTTATTCTTTGTTTTGTCTTTATCTTCTTTATTGGTTTCGTTATTTCTTTTTTTAATCATTTTCTAATTCTAATAATTCTTTGAATACTTTGCTCAAATGTAATCTGTATTAATGCTTACTAATACTTAAAAAATTGAATAAAATTATTAAATTTAATTTAAAATAATGTTATATTATTTATTGTCAATATATATTATCATTAATTTATTGATAATATAAATATAAGATATATAAATACGGTAGATATACAATATATGAATAGAATTGCAATTTTATATTTGCTCTTAGAGTTTATTAAAATTTTTTTATAATATTAACATTATATACATACAATTTTAACATATTTGTAATGTTTTCTTATATATTTTACATACTTTGTGAATTTAGCCAATTACATCGTACAAGTTTTGAGGATTGTTTGGAAGAATTAATTGCTGCTACAGACAATTCAGATATTGCTTTAACAACAATGGATTATTGGGCTGTGGAAAAACATTGTCCTCTCATAAAAATAATACGAAGTTATGAGCATTTTATTAGCCAAACAAATATATCAATACAAAATATCGATACATTAGAAATTCCTTGCTTACCGATAACTTTTACTACCCAGACGAATTCCAATTTTAGCAATTTCTTACATATTTCATTATGCAAAGAACATTTAATTTTATCAACATTTAAAGAGGATGGTTGGATGATTTTCAATATACAACAAATTGGTAAATATCGACTAATTGATTATGACGTATAACTCGAGTATATTTTATACATACATAATTATTATTATTTCATATTTTTATCTATTTATTCATTGTCGCATAAAAATCTGAGATGTTCATTGTAGAACTATAATAGTTTTAAAATATTTTGCGTAATTTTCTGCATTATTATATATGTATAATTAAGATATACATCTGCGTTTTCTATTATAATATCAATCAATATTAAAAGTTATAGTTTCACAAATATTTTAATCTATAAAAATAAAAATGATTAAAAGTTAATTATATTTATAAAATAAGTATAATAATATGTACAAGTAAAACATAGAATATTCGTAAAGTTACATGCAGAAATTTTACTAATTAATATAAAATAATTATTACATAATTTATGTAGAGCTAGAGTCAATTCTATTTTATTCTATATAACACTATCTTGCACAGCTTTATTTATTATTTTAATTAATTTTCTATATGTATTTGCATTTTATTTATATGTATTAAATTTTTCTGGTTTTTTTAAATTTATAATTTATATAAACAAAAGTAAAAACTAAAATGTTTGAAAATAAATACATTATAATAATAAAATTATTTAAAATAATGAATATTTATAAGATTTATATACTATTCGACAGGATATTATCGCGTGAACTATGATGATGAGAATTGGCGAAGAATTTTATATTATCTGAACTCTGATGATTACACGAAAATTCATGTTCTTAATCGTGCTCAAATTGTCGATGATGCATTTCATTTAATTATAGCAGGAGAACTCAAATTCATTATATTCATAGATGTAATATCGTATTTGCATCGAGAAGAAGATTATATAGCATGGTATCCTATGTTTAAAGCTCTGGAATACATATTTAGCACTTTTTCTGTAGCCATGATGCAAGTTAAAATGTGGACTTTTAAGGTAAATTTTAATAAATATTATTAAAAGTATTATATTTCAGATATTTGCATATACACTTATTAATTACAAAAAATTTAAATATTCAAAAAAATACCGCAACGATAAAATTTTACATATTATTATACGTCGCAAACAAATGTGCTTTAATTATATCTTTGAAATATTATAAATATTTTGCATAAATTAAAGCATATTTTTCCATATATGTATGTATATTTGAACGTATGTACGTGCATAAATAAACGCTCGCGTCTATAAGTAAATTTGTATGTATGTTTGTCTTAAAGAAAGAGAATATTTTAAGAATATATTAGTAAATAATAGAAAAATATAAAAATTTTTATAAATAATTTATTAAAGTTCGATCTGACTAGCCAATACAAATCGTATTACACACAACGTTTCGACCTTTGGATACGAGCCCTTATCAAGTATATTACTCAATATCATGTCTTTCACTTTAACATCTTGAAAGCACCACTTGATAAAGGCTCGTACCTAAATGCCAAAATGTTATGCGTGATACGATTTGTATTGACCAGTTCGATCAAACTTTAATAAATCATTTATAATTTTATTAGCGCCTTTATTTTAATCTTTTGAGATTTTAATAATTTTTAAATACATTTATAATATAATAAAGAAATATATATTTAACGATTTTTAGAATTACATAAACCATGCATTAAACGAGGTACTTAAAAGAATCAAATATGAAGAAATTGATGATAGTGACGACCTTAGAAAATGTTTACGACAAGAAGCTGCAAGATGGGCATGTTTTTCGGCGACTTCAAATGTAAGACAGAAGCCAACAATAAATTAGTACAACATCTACAAAATTCTACAAAGCACAAGTAAATATTGTTATATATCTTTAGGCTTTCTTAATCATTCTTGTAGGTATCGCCTATAATGTTTAAATAATTTGATCAAAAGGTCCATATGCTAAATTTTAATAAGAAAATTAATTTTTTTTATATTTTAGACTTTTGCCATGGTGGAAGGAATGGACATATTGTAACGGTTTCATGATAATCAACGAAAAAATCATTTGGCAATCAGTGTATGATGTAGGATTGAATAAATCTGACACTAAATTTTTAGAATACTTGGCTTGCTCTGAAAATACTGATGTCATCAATAATTATTTAGACAATCTAATATACTATTACCAGTACAATTATAGGAAAAACTATCAATATCTTTTTAACAGTTTGTTTTATATTAATATTATTACGAAGCATGCGAAGAATCAAATTACACTGCAGTACATATTAAACAATTTTCAAAAAATAAAACCAAGGTAATGTGGCATATTTTTATAAATATTGTGTACAAAAGTTTATTATGTGTATTATTATACATCTGTTTTATCGCTTTTAGTAGTGATATGATACCTGCAGTATTTATTATTATTATTAACAACGTATATTTTGTAAATCAAACTGAGGTAAAAATTTTACATCTTTATATATGTATACAAAACGTGATAATAATGCGTTATTAATAATTATTATATAATGTTTATAATAATTTTCATAATGTTATAACAACGTTATTTATTAATAATGTTCAAAAAATAATACATTTTAGCTAATAAAGGAATACGTCGAAACATGGTACACGACATTTGCAGGCACGTTTCATAAAATGAATAACACAGAAGATTTACTGAAAAGACATCAATTAAAGGTAAATTTAATAAATATTATTATGGAAAGCGAAAGAAAAAGAAATATTGTGTTCTATTTTATCAATTTCTGAATATTAATTTTATATTTGTTTTGTTTATTATATAAACGGTATATTGATTTCATTGTATAAATCTTTGTTTAAATATATTAGGATTCCATAATAGAGAATTTGGACAAAATTAAGAGCAAAGTATTAATTCGCAAGAAACAAATCAAAAGAGAGACACAGACACATTGGTGGATGTAAAAAAATTGCAGCTTTGCATACGGACATACCATTATATGAACACTTTTTTATATTGTATGCATTATTTTTTTACTGCTTTAATTATTGTTTATTTAGATGTATTACTATTAAATGCTTCTGTATTTACAAACTTTATGACTGCATGCATCAATAATACTATACAGCTATATAATATTATAATAAATTTTACTGTTGAATATAATATACAAATATAAAAATAATAATATAAAAATGTATAAATATAAATATATAAATATGATTGTAAAATGATGAATGCACCTAAATGTACTATCTATTTATTTTGTATTATATATTGATTTGTTTTTAATTTTTTTCTATTAATAAAATAAAATTATACGTTTACGCGCGCACGCACACACAAGCATGCACGCACGTAGGCACGAACGCGCGCACGTACGCGCAACATAGACACACATATATTGAATTATTATTTACTTATTATAAACATTTATAGCCAACATATTTATATTTATACGTACTATTAAATTCTTTATTATTTAAATTGTACATGTATATATGCGTATGAATGTGTGTGTGTGTGTGTGTGTGTGTGTGTGTGTGTATTATAGTAATACTATATATTATATATTACGTGTATTATATATATATATATACAACTCATATTATATATTAAATGTATTATAATATTATAAATTAATATATTATAATATTAATGTACGTATATATATAGAAAACATAATGTTTGTATAACAATAAGAATTAATAATATGTTAACGTTATATAAAAATTAATTTTAATTATATGTGCCATACATATTCAAAAAATAAAAATTTTTTACATTTAATATGTTATTATATAAGATTGATTTTTATTTATAAGTTTACAATAAATCACATGACACAATTTCTCTCTTTCTTTCTCTCCTTTTCTCTTTCTCCACACCCCCCTCTCTCTCTCTTTTCTCTCTCTTCTTTCTCCCTCCCGCCCTCTCTCTCTCTCTTCCCTCTCTCACTCCCTCTGTCTCGTTCCCCTTTCCCTTTTTCCCATTTTTTCTTATGTAAATTCACATTTTAATTTCACAAAGTTATCTATATAAAACATTAACAGAAAAGTGATCCGATTGCCAGTTGAAATTTTGAAATAAATATAAAAAAGAATTGATTGACCGACACTGGCTAAGGTAAAAAATCTTTTATTAAAAAAGACAACGTTTCGACCCCGAATTGGGTCCTTTTCAAGCTACAAAAATTAAATTATACATCTTAGTTAAAAAAACATAAAATTATCAATAAACAACAAGAGTTAAATGATAAACGAGAAGAATTTGAAGTAAATGTCGATCCTAATTCTTTTTCAGATTCTAATCCGAATTTTTTTAAAAATAATAATAATTGGTTTATTAATTTATCTAATACTAAGATACCAATATAATTAGTATGCACATATTAGTATGACAATATAATTAGTATGCTTTAATTAGGTGAAAACTTTAGTCTCCCGAATAATAGTAGGGTACAATTAACCATATATTTCATAAAATATTTTGAAAATAATCTAAAAAAGACTGCCTCCTGATAAAAGAGTTTTTGTTAGTAAAAAATCTAAGATTGTGGTGAACGCGATTAATCAATACTGATATCCAGATAACGGTTTTAATAAAATCTTATTAGAGTTGAGTGTAAACACTAAAAAATTTTTGGATGAAAAACCCGAATTTTATTATCGCAAAGGCTGACAAGGGAAATATTACGGTGGCGTTAGATAAAGACAAATATTTAGAGGAGGTTGAAAACATTTTTAAAGATAGAGATACTTACATTTTGGTAAAAAACGACCCTACAAATAGTATAATTTCCAATCTCCATGATCTTTTAGTGAGATGGAAAAAGAAAGGTTTAATATCAATTAATACTTACAGGTATTTATCGTGTAGTGATGGTAATCTTCCTAGAGCTTATGGATTACCGAAAGTGCATGAAATTAATTGTCCCTATAAAGTTATCGTCTCGTCTATTAATACACCACTTTATAATTTAGCAGTTTTTTTACACAAGATATTAATAAAAGTATCCAAAACTGGTAGTTATACAGAAAACGGCTTTAAATTAGTGCAAAAATTTTCTACATTACAGTTAGAGAATAATTCGAGTTTGATTTCATTAGATGTTGTGTCACTCTTTACTAATATACCGGTAGACTTAGTATTAGAAGATTTATCGGAGAGATGGCAATTCATTACTGATAATTGCAGTCTTAGTAAATCGGAATTTTTAAATGGCATTAGTCTAATATTAAACTCTACATTTTTTACTTTTAACGATGCTATATACAAACAAACTTATGGAACTCCGATGGGTTCCCTCCTTTTTCCAATAGTTGCTGATATAGTGTTACAAGATTTGGAATCCAAAGCTCTACATTTACTTAACTATAAACCGGTTTTTTTCCACAGATATGTAGATGACCTTATATTCTTTATATTGAGAGCCGATAAAAATATTTATTTCTAAATATTTAATGTTTAAATAATTTTGATAATATAATAATAACGTTGTCTATTAATAATAATAAAAATAATACATTTTAGTATATAAACGTATACGTTATACATATTTGATGACCACTGAAAGCTTATATGTTGGAATAAAAGAAAAGGTAAATTTAACAAATATTATTATGGAAAGCGAAAGAAAAAGAAATATTGTTCTATCTTTCTCTTATTAATTTTTGAATATTAATTTTGTATTTTTTTGGTTATTATATACAGTATATTGATTTTATTGTGCAAATTGTTGTTTATATATATTATAGGATTCCATAATACAGAATTATGTCAATATTGTAAACAAAACATCAATTCGCAGGAATCAAATCAGAAGACAAAAATTACAGCTTTGCATACGTGAACATACTTCATGGAAATAATTTTTCATATTGTATATACTATTTATTTTACTGCTTTAATTATTGTATATTTAGATGTTTTACTATTCAATGCCTCCGTATTTACAAAACTTTATGACTGCATGCATCAAGTTTTCTTTTGCAATCTTGTTTGATGTAGTTGAAATATATATATTATTACTTGTGTGTGTAGTCACAAGAAACCCTTGTAATCTCTAGTTGGAGAAACAATAAACATATCTATCTATCTATTAATAAATATATGTGTACGTAAAATATGTTTGTACAACAATAAGAATTAATAATATGTTAACGTTATATAAAAACTAATTTTAATTATATGTGCTATATACGTTCAATATTAATAAGGGAAGTTTCCTTAACGCCGGACGGCACCTATAATACCGGATATATATCATGTCTATGTAAATAAAAACGCGATCGAATGGTTATATCGGTGATAAGACAGTGAAGAGGATAGTGATCCCTATCACCGATACTCGTATAACCATTTGATTGCATTTTTACTTACATAGACATGATATATGTCCGGTATTAGGTGCCGTTCGGCGTTAAAGAAATTCCCTCTATGTTATTATATTAATTTGTGATTGATTTTCATTTTTTAATCTACAATAAATTAATATAAAAAAAAAAACTATTAATCTCGGCTCGAATTATTGTGTTACAATAAAAATAAATCTCGACGGCAATCGGAGCCTATGCGGATGACATGCACAAAATTAATAAATTAAAATGAGATCTCAAGTCAAACTCATTTATTAAATTCTAAACGTTTCGACCCACTTCGGGTCTTCTTCAGTAGCTGCAAAATACAAAGAAACAAAAATAGAAGATAATCGGTACAATCAGAAAATTATAAAACTCGTATACATACAATAAATTAAATCACATAAAACAATTTCCCCCCCTTTCTCTCTCTCTCCCCTCCATCTCTTGCGTAATCCACATTTTAATTTCAATAAAGTTATTTAAATAAAATATATTAATCTTAATATTATAATATTTATAAAATTATATTACATAACTTTAAAATTGTACAACATAATTTGTTTACGACAAGAAGCTGCAAGATGGGCATGTTTTCACGATGACATCACTTATAAGAAAGAAGCCAAGAATAAATTAAAACAACATATCGAAGGTACTGAAACACATAGGTAAATATTGTTATATATTTTTAGCCTTCCTTAATCAAATTTTCTTATAGGTATTGCCTATAATGTTCAAATAATTTGATCAAGAGACCCATATGCTAATTTTTAATAAGAAAATTTAATTTTTTATATTTTAAATTTTTGCCATAGTGGAAGGAATGGACATATTGTAAAAGTTTGATGATAGCCAAAGAAGAGACTTGGCGATTAGTGTACGTTATAGAATTGAATAAATCTGACACTAAATTGTTAGAATGCTTGGCTTGCCCTAAAGATATTAATATCATTAAAAAGTATTTACCAATTAAACAAAACATTTTTACAGAAAAAAAATATTCAAACTCTTTCAACAGTTTTTTATATATTATTACGAAACATGCGAAGAATTAAATTATACTGGAGTACATATTAGATCATTTTCACGAAATAAAACCAAAGTAATGTGGCATATTTTTATAAATATTGTATACAAAAGTTTATTATATGTATTATATATACATACATCTGTTTTATCGTTTTTAGATATGTTACTATACCTGCGACATTAATTATTATTATTAACAACGTATATGTTGTAGATCAAACTGAGGTAAAAATTGTACATGATTATATACGTGTACAAAATGTGATAATAATGCAATGTATTAACAATTATTATACAATGTTTAAAATAATTTTCATAATTTTATAACAACGTTATTCATTTATCATGTTCAAATAATAATACATTTTAGCTAATAAAGCAATTCTTAGAAAGATGGAAGACGCACTTAACAGACATATATTTTATAAAATGTATAACGCAGAAAATTTACTTAACAATTATCACATAAAAAAGGTAAATTTAATAAATATAATATATTATGGAAAGCGAAAGAAAAAGAAATATAGTTCTATGTTATTAATCTCTGAATATTAATTTTATTATATTTTTATTATATTATATTATATTTTTATTTGTTTATTATATAAACAGTATATTGATTTTATTGTGTAAATCTTGGTTTATGTATATTAGGATTTCATAATACAGAATTCTGACAAAATTGAAATCAAGATAGTAATTCGCAACAATCAAATCGAAAGACAGAGACAGTATTTTGAAAATTTTTTCTTCTATTTGATGGATGCAAAATAATTGCAGCTTTGCATGCGTGGATATGCTTCATATAAATAATTTTTTTATATTGTATGTACTATTTTATTACTGCTTAAATTATTGTTTATATAGATACATTACATTTTGATGCCTCTATATTTATAAAACTTTACGACTGCATGTATCAAAAGTTTTTTCTTTTTTGTGAACTTGCTTGAAGTAGTTGGTGATATATTCCCAGATAGCCACAGTAATTATTATGACATCAAAATGATATCATAATAATTACTGTGGCTATTTGGGTTATTATCTATGTAATCACAATAAAGTAGCCATATATAATAATAAATTTTATTGATAGATATAAAATAATAATATGTGTATGAATTTAAATAATATAAGTATATAAATATGTTTATTAAATGTGAAATGATAAATAAACTAAAATGTATTATCTATTTATTTTGAATTATATATTGAATTATATATTATGTTTTGAATTTTTTACGTTAATTAATAAAATGGTATGTTTACGCGCGCGCGCACACGCACACGCACACACCTACACCCACACACACGAACACGCACACACCCACACCCACGCACACGCACGCACACACCCACACCCACGCACACATTTGAGCACTCGTGTCAAAGAACATTTCAATATCAAAATGCACACATCTAGTCATTTATCTGTCATTAACAAGCATAAAATTGAATTTAACCATGATTTTGATTAGTCTCATTCAAATATTTTACATAAAGAAAAACATACTAAGAAAAGAGAGATTGCTGAAATGTTCTATATTAAGAAAAACAGTAAAATACAATAAATTTACAAAAGGATACCGAAAATCTTAATAATATATATGACTAATAAAGGTCGCATAGTTGCTGAATAATTGTCGAATGTGTAAAGTGTATCAATTGACATAAGGAGTTTCTCCTATAATTGTAATTACATTTTGTAAGTTTCATATTTTTCCGAAAGAAAGCCAGCCGAAAACGACCGCATCAACAAAAAAAAGAGAAGCGTTGCTAGCGTGTCCCATACAGCACCGTTAGATTGCAAAAACATTACAACAATCTTTCACCGCAATATAGCAATATTGCAAATTCACTGCAAAATGTTGCTACATCATTGCTGTTGAATTGCAGCAATGTTATTAAGTCCTTGAATAAGTTCTCGCTGTTTTTTTTGTTAAAAAAAAACATTTATTTAAAATATAAGGCTTACAATAACTTTACTCAAAGTATTGTCCATCATTAGAGACCACTTTCTCCCATCTTTCTGGCAGTAATTGAATCCCCCGTCGAAAAAACGATTCATCTTTTGACGCAATCCATGAATCGACCCATTTTTCGGTTTCTTCGAAAGAATGGAAGCGCTGCTCGCTCAAACCATGCGCCATCGACCGAAACAAGTAATAATCCGAGGGGGCTATGTCCGGTGAATACAGCGGGTGAGGTAGAACTTCCCATTGAAGCGTTTCCAGGTAAGTTTTGACTGGTTTTGCCACATGTGGCCGAGCATTGTCATGTAACAAAATCACTTTGTCGTGTCTCTGCCCGTATAGTGGCCGCTTTTCTTTTAGAGCTTGACTCAAACGCATCATCTGAGGTCGATAGCGAGCTCCCGTGATAGTTTCATTAGGTTTAAGCAGCTCATAATAAATTACGCCCTGCTGATCCCACCAAATGCAGAGTAGAATCTTGGAACCGTGGATATTTGGTTTTGGGAACGATGTTGATGCGTGACCGGGCGTACCCCACGATTTTTTACGCTTTGGATTGTCGTAGTAAATCCACTTTTCATCTCCAGTGATGATACGGTGCAGAAAACCTTTTCTTTTATGCCGTTGAAGCAGCAATTCACACATGAGAAAACGTCGTTCAACGTCTCTCGGCTTCAACTCATACGGCACCCAATGTCCTTGCTTTTGGATCATTCCTAACGCTTTTAAACGTTTTGAAACTGTTGACGCATCTACTTGCAATGTTTTCCCGAGCTCTACTAGCGTCTGACATGGATCTTGATCAAGCAATGCCTCCAATTCTTCGTCTTCAAACTTTGTCGGTGCTCCAGAACGTTCTTTATCTTCAAGGTCAAAGTCATTATTTTTAAAGCGCCTAAAATGTCGTATTCGACAGAGCATTGTCACCATATGTTTCAACAAGAATTCTGTGTGCTTCAGCTGCAGATTTCTTTTGAATAAAGCAGTGCAATAAAATTCCCCGCAAAAACACTTTATTTGGCACAAAAGTAGACATTTTCGCAATAGGTAATTAAACACGTGGTTGACACTGTGGTAAACTGTATCTACTAGAATTTGAGGTTACATATAGTACTACTTAGCTGATGCGTTTCCGTACGAAATTCCATGCACAGAGTGCCGCTACACCATCTTTTAAGAAACAGCGAGAACTTATTCAAGGACCTAATAAATGTCCGCTTTTTGGAAGATAATAAAATTATTGATTATCGTTAACATCTTTTATTGTACAATATTGCAAAAAATTATTTTATTACAGTATTATACTCAGCAAATACCAAGTTACAGTTATATAATTGTTAGTTGTAATTGTTTAGAATTATTATTCCATGTTATTATATATCACGAATTTGCACGATGTTTGGACATGTATCTGTTGGGATGTGCTGGTCGAGACAAGAGACACGGTTTTCTTTTATATATATAAGCATCATTGTCTCACTTTGTTTTGGTCTTATCACGTGAACGAAGAAACGGTCAATCACATGAACATGAACGGTCAAAATATCAATCGCGGAATTCCGGGATGTATCGGGCTTTTTCGGATCGACAACGAAGGCTTACCTGTGCGGCCTAAAATAAATTCGCACAGGTCACTTGCTAATCTTCATGTCTCGAGGAGCGCATCGCAATACATAGTCGCGCATAATCTTAATAAATCAATATTATACGAGGATCAAGTCCTTACAGTTTATTTCAATCAAACTCTCTCATACCATCGCGCCCGTACTGCTGCATTAAATAAAAACTAGAAGCCTGTGCTTCAGCTCGCGTCGCCCGTGGAGATTCAAAATTATACCCGGGACTTTACACGCGAGAGAATTCACGAAACATTTTGGACCTTCGAGCCGGATTTTTTGCGACAAACTGAAATTTGTCAGATCCGCAACAATATTTAACGGTACGAGCTGCTTTGGAGTTGCATCGAGAGGGTCAAAGAGCAATGATTATCGTCCATCAAGAGGACATCCCTGAAGCATACAATCAGTGGCCGCTGAAATAAATGAGATAAGGAGCTGCCAACCCGGAGGAGCCCGTGTGACGATTCATGATGCAGAGAAACTGGCGGACGAACAACCAAAGGCGGTCAATGAGGCATTAGCTGAGCGATCAAATTGACGATCAAGGTAGGAGAATTACTCACTTGCCAATCGGGGTGTTCATTTCCGTTTCGCATTTTGGGTAAACTGTTATTGTGGCGATATATTGTGCGCGATAGCGATATATTGCGTGGATTATGGCTCATTCGGATCAGATCTTAGCACTAAAGAGAAAGCGTACGTCGATAAAGGCTGCGTGTACCCGAATAAAAACATACGCGGATTCGGTGACTCAATTGACGCCGGAAACGGTAGCAAATTTAGAGGAAAGAAAAGATAAATTAGCTAGCTATTGGAAGGAGTATAATGATTGGCAATCTGAGATAGAGGCGATCTGCGACGGTGAGGGAGGAGATCGCGAGGCGTTTGAAGAAATGTTTTTCGGATTGACGGCAGCGTTGCGCTGCAAGATTGCGGGATATAATCGCGGGCCTTCCAATAGCCGCTCCGCAGTGTCTACCCCGGTATCCGTCGGCGAGTCGGGCACCTCTGCATGCGGAGTGCGATTACCGAAATTAGATCTACCAAAATTCGCGGGAAAATACGAGGATTGGTTTCCTTTTTATGAAATGTTTAACTCCATAATAAATGATAATCCGTCCTTGAGCGGCTTCCAAAAATTTCAATATTTGAGAGCATCTATGACAGGCGAGGCAGCAATTATAATTCAATCGCTGGAATTGACTGATTCAAATTATCAAGTAGCTTGGGATTTATTAAAACAGAGATATGATAACAAACGCGCTATAGTGCATACGCATCTACGCGCCCTGTTCGAGCTGCCGAATATCGCGAAAAAAAATGCTGTTGAGCTGCGTAGGGTGGCGGACAATGCCGCGAAACACATACAAACATTGAAGGCACTGCATTGCCCCACGGAGCATTGGGACACGCTGCTTATATACTTAGTTTCGTCTAAATTCGATCCGATTACAGCTAGAGAGTGGCAGGCGTCGTTGACCGGAACAGAGTTACCCGCGTTCAAGCAGCTCTCGGAATTTTTGGAGCACAGATGCAATTTGCTAGAATCGTTGAATCGCGGAAATTTACAAACTCAGCCCGCCGGAAAGCGTTTGGCAGCTCATGTCGCGACTGCCTCTTTGTCGTGTGAATATTGCCAGGGAAAACATCTCATTTATTATTGTCGTGAGTTTATTAAACTGCCGGTCGCTCGACGAATCGCGGAAATAAGGAAGCGCAAGCTATGCGCAAATTGTCTTCGCGGGGGCAATCATTATGCCGCAAAATGTAAAATGGGCGCGTGTAAAACATGCGGAGCCAAACATAATTCGATGCTTCATCTTCAGGCGGATTCGGGCGACATTACTGAAAAGGGAAAGGCCGAAGGTGAGCCGTCTCCGGAAACGACAAAAGAAAAAATAGTTATGACTCAGGTGTCCTCCGCGTGGAACGCGCATGTATTGCTTTCAACGGCAATTGTGTATATAATAGATGCTACTGGAACGAGACAATCATGTCGGGTTTTGCTGGACAGCGGCTCGCAAGCGAATTTTATAACGCGAGATTGTGTCAAGAGATTAAACTTAAAGCCATCGACGGGCAGTGTTAGAATCACCGGAATAAATGGCATGACAAGCGACGCCAACGAGATCGTGAAAGTAAAATTACATTCTCGTTTGAGCGGCTTCTGCGCGAGTTTGGAGTGCGTTTTGACGAACCGCATAACCGATCGGATACCTACGGCACCTATTAATCGAGAAAGGATACAAATACCTAATGGGATTAAATTAGCTGATCCGGAATTTCATAAATGCTCCGATATCGATATATTGATAGGCGCCGATATATTTTGGCAGCTGCTTTGTGTGGGGAGATTGAAGTGTTCCCGATCGCATCCCACGCTACAAAAAACGCTTTTCGGATGGATTGTCGCCGGCCGTGTGGAGGTCACCGCTCGCGACGCCCGCGGGCGCGAGGTGAGAGCGTTTCACATTTTGGTGGCGGATGCCGCCTTGCAAAATCAATTAGCCAAATTCTGGCAGATCGAGGAAGATTTTCGGCCGTCGGATTCGTACACTAGCGCGGAGCGTTTTTGCGAGAGACACTTCCTCGATAATACTAAAAGAAATGAAGAGGGTCGAATAATAGTCACGCTTCCGATTATTAAACAGAAATTAGAGAATCTCGGAGAAACGCGAGACATAGCAATGCGGCGTTTTTGCGGGCTAGAAAGACGACTGAATCGCGATCCAGGATTAAAATCGCAATACACGGCATTTATGCGCGAGTACTTGGCCCTTGGGCATATGAAATTAGTAAGGGAGGAAAATGACAAAGACAAGGGATTGCCGACGTACTATTTGCTGCATCATTGTATATTAAAGACGTCAAATGAAACGACTAAAATCAGGGTGGTTTTTGATGCTTTATGCAAGAGTTCGACAGGGGTTTCGTTGAACGACGCTCTTATGATCGGGCCGACGGTGCAGCAGGATTTATTTTCCATTGTATCGAGGTTTCGAATTTTTCGATTCGTATTCTCCGCAGACATCGCCAAGATGTACCGGCAGATATTGGTCGATCCGCAGCAGACGCGACTGCAGCGTGTTCTGTGGCGAGATGAGGTCACCGAGAGCGTGCAAACATACGAATTAATAACGTTGACATACGGTACAGCGGCCGCGTCATATTTAGCTACTAGAGCGCTGCAATTTTTGGCCGAGATGTACGCGGAGGAATTTTCCGCGGGATCCCGGCGAGTGAAACGCGATTTTTACGTTGATGACCTGCTAACGGGAGCGGACACAATCGAGGAAGCATTAGCGTTGAAAAACCAGATCGTAAAGATTCTGAACCGCGGCGGATTTCAACTGAGCAAGTGGCATTCAAACGAATCAGTATTGATAAATGATATGTATGATAAACATAACGCCAAGGTTCAAATTGATAGAGACGCGACGTCGCGCATCCTCGGAATTCTTTGGAATCCGTCGGTGGATGCCTTTCGGTTCGCGATTGAATTGCCGACTGACTCACACAAGATAACGAAGCGCGTAATATTGTCGGAGATATCAAGATTATTTGACCCGTTGGGATTAATCGGTCCGGTTATTATCATACCAAAAATGCTGTTACAGGAGATTTGGCAATTAAAAATACAGTGGGATGAATCGATTCCGCTGGATATGCATGCAAGATGGTCCGCGTTTAAGAGACAATTAAGAGAATTAAATGATTTAAGCGTCCCGAGGTTTATAGGGGAAAATCAAGAGGGGGCTCGCGTTCAGATACACGGGTTTTGTGACGCCAGCCAGCGGGCGTATGGCGCGTGTTTGTATATTCGAAGACAAGTAGATGGAAACGAAGTGCAGATTGATCTGTTGTGCTCTAAAACAAGAGTAGCCCCACTCAGAGTGATTTCGATTCCGCGACTCGAGCTTTACGCGGCATTATTGCTGGCACAATTATTGGACAAAGTGCGTTCATCTATTGACATAAAGGACGTGCGGTATACTTTGTGGTCGGATTCCACGATCGCGCTGAGATGGATTTCGTCGTGCTCGAGAAAATGGTCGGTTTTTGTGTCAAATCGCGTTGGAGAAATACAGCGATTAACTTCCGGTTTGGATTGGCGGCACGTGCCGACAACCGAAAATCCTGCGGATTTACTATCTCGGGGCGTCCACCCGCATGACATCGGGAATGCCGCGCTATGGTGGCGAGGTCCCGCGTTCTTAAAGAGCAGCGAGGAGTCGTGGCCAAGCGTTGGCGAATATGTCCCGGAGTCCGAGATGCCGGAGAGGCGGCGGATAGTTGCTGCTGTAGCTGGCGTGGTGGCATCGAACCCCTTTTCGGAGCTTATAGTTAGATGTTCGAGTCTAGATAAATTGTGCCGAATTGTTGCATATTGCAGGCGATTTATTGGACCGCGTCTGCGATCCGAGGGAGACGTGGGCGTTCACGTCTTGCACGTGGAAATCTCGGCCGCATTGGAAAACATTTGCAAGCTGGTGCAAGGCAAACGAGTTCGGGCAATTAAAGAAGGGAAACGCTCTCACTTCCGCTAGCTCATTAAAATCATTATCGTCGTTCTTGGATAAACAGGGTCTGATTCGCGTCGGTGGGAGGCTCGAAAAATCACAATTAGGGTACGATGCCCGGAATCATCGGCTCACTCAGCTCGTCATATACGCACGCTGGATTACAGGGCACTATGGCTGCGGTGCGACAAAAATTTTGGCCTCTCTCGGTTCGCTCGACCACACATTATTAGACAGTGCCTCGTTTGTTTTAGATGCAGGCCGGCGATATCGGAAGCGAAAATGGGGGTGTTACCTGCGCCCCGTGTGACACCTTCGCGGCCGTTCTCTAATTGCGATCGATTACGCGGCATTATTGCTCGAAATAGTAAGGGTTTGTATAACGCAGTCTCACTTGACGACGCTTTTCTAGCTTAAAGCGTTTTATTAATAATACTGGATTTTTAAGGGGGCTTCGCGCCAATTGGCACAGTTGTACGCGTTTCGTGGCGCGTCATCAACCAAAGAAAAAATAGAACAGTTTTGTCGCGACTCCAGAATATCATGATTCCACCTGGAGCGCCGCACTTTGGCGGGCTCTGGGAGTCCGCGGTCTGCGAAATATCACCTACAGCACTCACACCTGACTTTCGAGGAGTTGCAGACAACGTTGTGCGAAATAGAGACTGTATTAAATTCGCGTCCGTTGACGCCGCTGAGCTCTGATCCTAATGATTTAGCCTATCTTACGCCGGGGCATTTTCTGGTTGGCGAGGTATTGAGTGATTTTCCATGCCACGACCTTACTGACGATCGATGGCAGAGAGTCGAGCAGCTCCGCCAGCATTTTTGGAGTCGTTGGAGCCGCGAGCAGCAGCGGCAGAAATGGACTATAAGATGGTGCTAGTCATGCAATTCCGCCTCTGCAGTGGGCGCTTGGCCGCGTGAAGGAAATTCATCAACTGGGCATCGCCCGTACAGCCACAATAATCACGGCCAAGGGATCATTTGTCAGGCCTCTTTCAAAATTATCAATTTTGCCTCTAGAAAATTAGCATTTGTAAAAAAAATATATATATTGTTTTTTGTTGCTTGACAATCAATTGTACTACATTCATAACATGAACGTGCTATATAAGTGCAAACAATTAGCCGCGCTTAATCAAATAGCGTTAATGACAAAATTATTTAAATCGCTTTAGATATTTGAATTGAGGACGACTCTTATCATTTATACTACACTTTACTCATTATATATTATTATTTTCTTTGCGTTACAAAGCATATTATTTAATATACATATTCATTGTACTGTTATTTGACGAAGCGTATCAATCATATTGTATGCCTGCCGCATGTATGTGACCCCGAGTTTATTTATTATTATTGTAAAACGACGTCTTCCAAGGCGGCCGGTGTTTAGAATTATTATTCCATGTTATTATATTTCACGAATTTGCACGATGTTTGGACATGTATCTGTTGGGATGTGCTGGTCGAGACAAGAAACACGGTTTTCTTTTATATATATATACGCATCATTGTCTCACTTTGTTTTGGTCTTATCACGTGAACGAAGAAACGGTCAATCACATGAACATGAACGGTCAAAATATCAATCGCGGGATTCCGGGATGTATCGGGCTTTTTCGGATCAACAACGAAGGCTTACCTGTGCGGCCTGAAATAAATTCGCACAGATCACTTGCCAATCTTCATGTCTCGAGGAGCGCATCGCAATACATGGTTGCGCATAATCTTAATAAATCAATATTATACGGGGATCAAGTCATTACAGTTTATTTTAATCAAACTCTCTCATACCATCGCGCCCGTACTGCTGCATTAAATAAAAACTAGAAGCCTGTGCTTCAGCTCGCGTCGCCCGTGGAGATTCAAAATTATACCCGGGACTTTACACGCGAGAGAATTCACGAAACAGTGAGTAGGTATACTATGGGGGTTCTAACTCAGGGGCAATGAGAGGGGTGCGGGGCGGGGGGGAATCGGTGGCGAGGGGGGTGACGTCACGCGGGGGGGAGGGGTCTTATCAGTAGATAAGCTTATCTTTGTTTATAAACATATCAGATAACCTGATAAGGGGATCATGTTACCTGATAAAGGGATCATGTTACCTGATATATTTATAAACAAGATAAGATAAGGGGATCATGTTACCTGATATGTTCATAAACAAGATAAGATAAGATAAGCGGCGTCTTTGAGCGGTATCAAAGTTTTCATAAATTTTCTCCGAAGATAAGATAAAAATTCTGCGAATGGCTGCCGCATTTCGAGCGCCGACAATCGGATATCTATTACTAAGGGGGTTGCGTTTCTTCATCTAAATTTGATAAGATAAAAATTCTGCGAATGGCTGCCGCATTTCGAGCGCTGACAATCGGATATCTATTACTAAGGGGGTTGCGTTTCTTCATCTAAATTTGATAAGATAAAAATTCTAAGAAGGGCCGCTTGGATCCGAGCGCCAACAATCAGTTCTCTGAAAATCTAAGATAATCAAATTTTAAGAAGGGCCACCGCTTGGTATACGCCGACAATCAAGGGGGTTGATACATGATCTATACATATATTTCTAAGAAATATCAGCGGGTAAAGTTTCAGGGCGAACAAGTTGCTGCCTGCAACCTCGCCGCTTGCGACCTCGCTGCCTGCAATCTCACCGCTTGCGGCCTGCGACATGTTTTTGCATGGGATTGTATATCACCCTCGCGGTACCTCCCCAGTAAGCGGCGGTTCTTTATTGTTTATCTTAGGAAGAAATACCAGCGCCGATAACCAGCGGCTGCAGGAATTTATAAACAAAACAAGCGCCGAAAATTTACGTCATCTAAATTTTTCTCGTTCGTACGTTGACGAACAAAGGGTTGATCGGGGTATATAATGAGGACCGATGCAGCTGCCGGACCATAGTACCACTGGCGAGCGCACGCTCTCTTCATTCAGAATGTTTGTAATACTATCAAGTGCTTCCGACATTCTCAGTTTAAGTGCCGAACAGTTACAATATATTCCGAAGATTGTTTTACTGCAAAAGTGCGGATATTTCGTAGAGCATTTGTGGGAAAAACTGCCGGAGCATATCAAGACGGATCCGGAGGTTCAGACATATCGTCGCTGCCTCGAACACTACAATCGGCCGTGGATGCGAACGCATATTGACGGTCCTGCACCGATGATCAGGGATTGCAGCGAATGTCAGCGAAAATAGGCTGAGGTTAAAAGTGCGAATAAGTGATAGACATTGAAAAAATGGAGAGCGCACCGCAAAATCATGCAGAGTGTCATGAAAAGGGGTGTTATAAGACTGCCGAGAGATGGTATAGACATCTCGAGGTATGCTGTCACAATGAAAAAAAAGATAACCCGTTTTGTAATAAACGTGAAGCGGTGACTTCAATTGTACAATATGTACGAAATCGCGAACTTGGTGTGCGAAAACCGCATACAAGACGTGTAGCCCAGTTCCTGGAAACGCATGAAGACATTGTAAGAGTGGCTGGTGATTTATCTAAATGCACCAGAACGTCTAAGCGACACAAGCGAGTCGCATGTTATCAACGTCGATACAAAAATTGTGTCGATTATTTCACTGTGGACAACTATGAATTTGGCTACATGGACATGCCTTCACCATCGGTGTCATGCAAAACACAATCATCCGAAAATGATTCTGACCAAGAAATGGAGGAGGAGTCAGATAGGAGAGAACCGTCATCATCATCATCATCATCATCGCCAGATTTTTTGTCGGCAGCCTATTTATCTTTTCTGTGATAAAATAGGTGTACAATATATGCGAAGAGTATAGCAGTGTTTATGAGATAAGTTTTATCACGCGTGAAAGAGAGGATTGTAGTAAATGTGTCAAGACATATTTTCACGAGGTGTAAACAAAACAATAATCAACTGCTGCAGCGGCTGCTCTTTTACGACCGATCATCTTTCTTTCTGAGATAAGTTCGATCGCATGTGAAGCACAAAGGGCTGAACGAGATATATATTGAGGACCGATGCCACTGCCGGGTCATAGTACGGTGACATTTGCGAGCATAGTAGTGAGCGAGTAAATAGTTTTTTTTTTGTGAAAAAAAATGGAGAACGCAGCGCGTAAGAGCGACAATGAGATGAAGGTGGTGGTCATCCCTGATGACGAGATGGAGGTGGTCGTCGTCCCGGATGACGAGATGGAAGTTATAACCATCTCCGACGACGACAGTGACAGTGATGGTGCGATGTACGACCCTGTGTACGACAGGGATGTGAACATCCTATTGGACGACATTGAGGAGATGGACATTGATATCGTACCCATTGAAGAAGAAGACGGCGATGACAATGACGATGATGATGACGATGACGATGACGATGACGATGACGATGACGATGACGATAAAGATGAAGATGACAATGACGACGGGTACGATACTGACAACGCTGTCCGGGAGTCGTGCAGGTCCCGGATGTATGGCATACGCGCCACTGCATCCCTCGACGAGACAGCGAGGGTATGCACTGTGGCGTCGTATGTCATGGCGTTCGCCGTACCATGGGGGTCGATTAGGATCTGCTTTCGCTGTTTCATGAGAAACAGGGGCAGATTCATCTCGATCACGACCATCGAGGGACACACAACATCGCGGTACATAAATGTACCCGAACTGCGTTGCGAGGATTGCCGGGAAAGATTATACATATTGTACCTGGCCAACGCTTGTCCCACATGTCAAGGACGTGAGTATATATAATATGTCAAAAAAATATATATAATATGTCAAAAAATATATAAAATATTAAATTATTATATTTCTATGTACAGATGTCGAGTCCGATGACAGCGATGGGTGATGCGACCCCCCCCCTCTCTCTCACTGTCCCGTCAGGGCTGTAAGTATATTAAAATACCAAAAAAAATCTATAAAATATTAAATTATTGTTATTATATTTCTATGTGTAGATGCCACTACCTCGAGCCGCCACATCTCTCTCTCTCTCGCTGCTCACTCGCCGTCACCGTATATTTTTTA